ATTTAATTTCAGGATGAATTAAAAACAGCTGTAGCAAAATCTTGCAAATGATAGTGCCTACAAAAATGTGTTCGTTGCCAGACTCCAAGAAGTATTCTTCCCATTCTCCAATTTCACATTTGAAATAAAGAGTTTGCTTCTAGTATATGTGTCTACCCATCCTTTCCTGCAAGAGGATGGTCATAAAAATCCCTGTGCCAGTTCATGGAAGAGAGTTTGAAAAAATAAGAAGACTGGTTATTTCATGAAAAATAACATCATTCCTCACGTTATGCACAAGCTAATGGTAATGAAAGCTTATATTCCAGGACTCAATGATTTTCACAAGAATCGAAATGAAATTTTCCATGATGCATGATAGCTAGTTTCAGTTGCAGGGGCAGAATGGGGGGATTTGCTCTCATTTTCCATTAAAGCAAAGACTGTCACATAACAGATGAAAATGTAGATTTATTGAGCCTGGAATTTCCATCCTTTTGATTTCCAGTATCTTTGCAAGTGACATCTTAAAAGGCCAAATCTGAGTTAAGAAAAATACACATAATATTATATGCCTTCTCTAGTGTAAATTCCACAACAAACCATGGGTTTAATGAATTGTTTCCAAGATTCAATTTGTGTGTATCTGTCCTTGAATTTTGGAGACAAATCAGTAAACTTCATTAAACACAAGGTACATGATTTTAAAATTTTTTTTTACCATTTTGAAAGATGCAAACAGCATTAGAGTGTTACAGATGCACAACTCAATAACAAAATGGATTTCGGAACAGAGATGCAAGTCTGGGGTTCCCTAACTGCTTTAGATTTACCCTGATGCTGCACAAGGTATTTAAGAGTGGTTCTCAGCAGACACACATGGTTGGGGACCACCACGGCTATACTACAGGTTCTGATACTGATTATGGTCCCAATGCCCTTGCAGTGAGTGATTGATGCACAGTATCCAAGATTAGTAAGGACTATATGTGGAAGGGCATAACATCTGAATCAAAGGAAGACTCAACATACTTTAAAAATAGAAAAAAACTGTCCCCCAAAATCAAATGATTGCAAAATGAATACAGTCAAGTACCCTCCTTATGACATAAAGTCATATTTGGAAGGCCTGGTAAAAGTCTGATGTAGTCAGAATCATAGAATTTTAGAGGTTGGAATGGACGTTTTAGATCAGCTAGTCCTAACCCCCTGCCCTGGGCAGGGACACCTCCCACCACACCAGGTTGCTCAAGGCCTCATCCAGCCTGGCCTTGAACACAGCCAGGGTCAGGGCAGCCACCACTTCCTTGGGCAACCTATTCCAGAGTCTCACCACCCACGCAGGAAAAAACGTTTTCCTAATATTTAGCCTAAATTTCCCCTCCGTCAATTTGTACCCATTACCCCTCATCCTATCACTGCAGTTCCTAACAATTGCCTGCTTGATAATAGCTTGATTTATTGCTAGTTTTGCAAGTTTATTGAAAGAAAACAAATGAACACATTTAATCCTTTTATAAAGGAAAAGAGCAATGTAGCATAAGCCATTCCCTGCCCTCTCCCTAAAAATAGTTTGAAATCGTAAATGCAGTCCTGGGTCTTCATATTTCAGTGGCAAAACTGTCACTGATTTCAGCATAGTAAAGTTAAAATTTTGAAAGTTTCAGTTTGGATTATTTGGTATGAAATAATTAAGGCAGCTGCATGCCTCACTGCTATGCTGGAAAGTCTGGAGCTAGTACTGCCAAATACAAGGTTTGCAAAGGAATTGCCTGGCAAAACTATGCAAGGTTTTATTTTGAAGGAAAACTGTTCAGGTGCACATTTGCAAAGCAGAACCTAAGCTAAAAATAACATCTAGAAAAAATATTCCTTATCTTGGAACTCAGTGATTTCAAAATAAGGGCTGTAAGCCAGCTAAAACCCCAGCCTCTCTTCACGGTGAAATTTAATGAGTTTAATTAAACCAAACCAAAACTAATAGGTTTGATTTTAGTCTAATTAGTTTTTAACAGCATCTCTTTTTTTTTTTATTTATTTGCTCTTGTGTACCACAGAGCTACGGTATGCAA